CCACCTTGCTCTGTGGACTACAGCTACCAGCATGCCCGAGAGCCACACCTGGGGATAAGGCAAGTTGCACTAGGCAGTATCTCCACCACCAGGGGCAGCAGTGCTGGCCACATGTGCCTGGGCCAGGCAGGGCTGACGGACCTGCTGTTGGCCAGATGGAATCACTTGACAGGCAGGATCCAGTCTACAGGCCAAATTTTGCCTCCCCCTGGATTAGCTCCTTAAAATTAAGGCTTGCTTGATGGTCAGACCCACCCTGGAATGTAACAAAGAAAGCAGTGAACAGCCCAGAAGAACTGGGAGATACCTAGAAGGCTTGAGCCTTTAAGAACTGATTAAAGTATACACGCTGTATTGAGCATCTTGTCAATCAGGGTGCATCTTTCTGGTTGACTTGGAGGTTGACAAAATAATCAAAGAATATAGAAAACAGATTTAAACAGTAATATACTAAAATGTAAGAGAAAGCTGTTATCTAGTAAGGTGTTCCTATGTGTTAATGCCTGTGGTTAGATGGGTTACATTATGTATAAATATATATGTTTTCAAAAGGAACTGTGGATTTGTGTACCCTCTCATATTTATTCCCTCAATCAATTGGCATGACGAGCTAACTGACAGTGATAAAGGCTAGTTGGTTTATATTGACTATGTCACTGGAAGAAGTGTTCCTGGGGAGTTGCAATATAAATAGGAATGGCTAGATTGTAATTTACCATATTTCATGGTGTATACATTGATGCAGTGTACAAGGTGGCCCCATTTTTCTGATCCAAAAAGTTATTGGAGAATTTTGTAGATCCAGTGTTTAATCCAACCTAACTTTTTGTTAGGGGTTGACTTATACCAGCCCCTACATGCCCTCACAGTAGGCTGAGCACCTGAGGGATGAACACATTCTGCAGCACTACTCGCAGGCGACAAGGACAGGCTCAGTGTTCAGCTGATGTAGCCCCATCCCCTGTGAGTGGCACTGCCTGGGATGCACCAGTCCAACGCCAAACCCGGCCCTGTCCGCTGTGAGTGGCACTGTCGAGTGCTGAGCCCAGCTTCGTTCCTTGCAAGTGGCACCAGGCTCAGTGCTCGGTTGGCGCAGCTGGGCTTTGCACTCGGCAGTGCTACTTGCAACAGATGGGGCCAGGCTCGCAGTTCAGCTAGAGGCCAGGCAGCGCCACTCACAGGGAATCGGGGTGCACCAGATGTGCGCCAAGCCCAGCCCCATCCCCTGCAAGCAGCACAGGACTCAGCGCTTGGCTGGCGTGTCCCCATCCCCTGTGAATGGCACTGCCTGGGTTGTTCCAGATGAGCCCAGCCCTGTCCCCTGCAAGTGGCACTGCCTGGGCCAGTGCTTCGCTGGCCTCGGCTGGTGCAAGCCCGGTGCTGCTCACAGGTGATCAGGTTGGGCTTGGCACTCATAGCAGACCTTGGTGCTTGGCTGGCACACCCCCATCCCCTGTTAGCAGTGATGCTTGGGCTATGCTAGCCAAATGCTAAGCCCAGTGCCACCCATAGGCAGTGTGATATACTGCCGCCCACAGGGGATGGTGATACAGTGTATAAGCAGAGGTTGAATTTTAACAGTTAAAATTTGGGCTTCAAAACTCAACTTATACACAGTGCAATATGTTAACGGGAAATAATGAAGACAGGTTACATTTCAGTGTAAGCCCCCAAGAGGAATTTGGATTGGTTCTATTGAAATTCAGCACAAATGGAACCTGCAAAAGAAGTCCCATCACTAGGTGCTCTGGTCTGCTTCTGATCCCGGTCTCTTTACAGGGATGTCAGCAGTACTAGCTGTTCACACTGCTTGCCAACACAGCAGTAATGGGGCTAGTCTATCCCAAAAAGATACATGGAGGGAAAATAGCAAAATGACTTTCATCCCAGATCAGCCTAACCTGAGCCGCACGTTTGTGCATACAGGACACCCACACACAGCCCTTGGTTTATAAAGTAAATATGCAAGATGAAACACAACCTAGCCTTGAGTTTATCTGCCAAAAAAAAGTTAAAAGGAAAATTTTGAAGTTCAATTGATTATGTCTAAGATTATGCTGGGTAAAATATTTCAAAATTTGCCACACATTTTAACATATTCATTGCCCATACTTTTTCTAATCTCCTTATTAATATTCATTATCTCCCTTGGCAAAATCAGAAAGTTAATAAGGATGCCAAATATTAAAAAAGCTGTTGAGTGATCTGGTCTTGATGTGGCATTTTGGATAAGTGCTGTACATCCCAGTACATCCAGAAACTAAGGATGAATTGCAGTATATTTAGTGATAAAACCAGGCAGATTTATTTTGTTAAAATCCAAGATCCTAAGAAGCACATGAAAATAATTCCAGAAGAGATGGCAGAATGACTACTGTTGACCAGTGCAGAGAGAGGGCCAGGGAGTTTGTTAAATGGTCCCACAATCCCAGGTGCTCTTTGAGGACACAGGAGGGAGTGTAACAGAGGTTCACAAAGTTACCAATTTTTGTCTTGTCCTGCTTTTCTCCATCTGGTGGCAGGATGAAGAGTCTGTTTTAGGTTGGAATATCAACTGCAAAATGCTTTGGCTCCTGTTCTGCAGCACTGCAAACTTTATAACTAAGGATCTACTTAATTCATGGTTTTCCAGTTTTCACAGAAACTGCAAAAATGGCATTGTTCTCATTCACTAGGAAATATTGCATTGGCCGTGATATCCTATAGAATTAACCTAAAACAACCCCAGTGTATTATTCATATAATACGCTGTTTCAGAATGTCCCAGTACTTACCACAATACAAAGACAATGTGACAAATCACTGCAGCCATAGATCACGTGGTTGAGAGCTGCTAATGACAGACTAAGCGGAGGTGCCAGTCAGTGAAGTTAAATTGTTTCTATTAAGGTTAGCATCAATTAGTATTTCTAAACTTCTTGTAGAACATGACATAATAAATGATAATGATATAGGTTACAATTCATATTGTATATGCATTTACATGAATATTATATTTAAATTTAGATTTAAAATTTAATATTTAGATTTACATTAATATGAGAAATTACATGATATATTTTACTTTCTGCAGAATTTGCTATTAAGTTATATGGTATATTCCTCTCCACCAATCAATGAGGAGGGGTGGGGCCACCAGGAAATGCCTGCAAAAAATTGGCTGTGTCAGGACCCAGCTGTAAAAATTACATCGTCTCACGGTAAGCTAAGCAGATCCCCATTTATAATTGTAAGAATAAGAACAAGGGGAAGCTATTTGCAAAAATATGGAATGCCCTTCCTTGGAAGCTTTTCAGAACAGGTCAGGCAGTGAAAGAGGGTCTGGGTAGGCTTATCCTACATCATTGGACTACAAGAATGAGGTGATACCTTAATGACCCTTCCAGGCTGACATTTCTGTTATTTCATTCCTATGGAAGGGACAAGGGCGAGACAATATTTTTTAAAAATTATTTTCATATTTACACTGCATCCTGTCTCTCCATACACTACAGCAGAGGTGACCAACCTTCCAACCCTGGGGACCAGATGAATGGTGCAGGGTCACTCTGTGGGCTGGATCCCATGCACCCATGTCTGGCTGCGTTCCAGCACACTCTTGTGCTTCCAGAGTTGGCTAGGTGCTAGCCTGATCCTGCTGCATACTGGCTCGACCCCCTGCCCTGGTTGCACCTGTGCATTGGCCCAATCCCACCGATCTCTGAAGAGATTTCCAGGGGTCTGGAAATTTGGCAGCAGGAGAGCAGCATTTAATGTTGCCACCGCTCCCCTGCTGCCAAATTTCTGGACCCGTTGGAAGTACTGCGGGCTGGATGACACAGCTCCATAGGGCAAATCTGGCCTGAGGCCTGGAAGGTGAACACTATTGTACTACAGGATTATTGACATTTGCCTGTTTGAATTCCTTCACACAATATTAATCAATATTAAAAACAAGTATTTTAAAGGAACTACAGAGATACTGGGTACTACTGTATCCAGCTGTCGAGTGCTGAATAATTTATGGCTTAAGAAGAGAAAACTGAATATACTTTGATATGCTGCTGAAGTCCCACAGTTGAAAGTGAAGTGACACAGCTCCATGCCAAGGAGGTGATCCTCCCCCTCTACGTGACGCTGCATCTCGAGTAGAGCCAAGGAGGTGATCCTCCCCC